AAAAAAAAAAAAAAAAAACCAAAGAAAAATATAACCAAATATATCTGTCCATAAAGAGAAAATGCACCTCATTAAATAGAATTTATGTATGTTCTCCCTTTTTGTGTGCTTCCTTTACCTAATATAACAATCACATTTATGTAAGTTGCCTCCTTGGACACTTAGAATTTGAGTCTGTAAAAAGAAAGGAAGAATTTTTATCTCATGCATTTTTGTATCCCAGCACCTTTCGTGTACGTGGCAGATATATGGCATAGTGAATTTTATGAATTAAGAATGTTAAATTTAATAAGTTCCCACTTGTTACTGTTATCTTTGCTTTGAATTTGTTCATGGTGAAGTTTTATGATTATGTGAATTCTAGCAAATACAGCGACTAAGTCTAAGGAATAGGAGAGGGCAGTGGGATTGGTAGTTCACATTAGCTAGTGTGGCATAGTGCTGGAAAGAAAGAAAAGTAAATGTTTTGTGCCTTAAGGTATCTAGTTTTAGTTGAAGCTGTTTGTGCAGTTTTAAAGGTAGAATGTTTTTGAGAAATAGTTTTTTAGTTTCTTGAATATAAAAACATTTTTTTGCTAAGAGCTATTTCTTTAAAAAATTCACATACCATAAAGTTTATCCTTCTAGAATGTACAAGTTGCGTATATTTTAGTATATTTAGATAGTTTTGCGTATCATCAACATTTTCTGAATTTTAAACACTTTCATCATCCCCAAAAGATATCCTGTGCCCACCCCTCCCCACTACACTGTCTTGTCTTCTGGCAAGCACTAATCTCTGTCCGTATGGATTTGGCCACTCCACACATGTCATGTATATAGAATCACACTGCGTGGCCTCCCGTGTCTGGCTTCTTTTACTCAGCACGGTGTTCTCCAGCCTTACCCATGTCGTACACATGAACACTTTACTACCATGGCTGAGTGATACTCCTTTGTACAAATATACTACACCTTCTGTACTCATCCATTAGTTGATGGCATTTGAGTTGTTTTACTTTTCGGCTATAATAAATAATGCTGCTGTTCTTATAGAAGATTTTGTGTGAAAATTTGTTTTCAAATCACTTTTATATAATATATACCTGGAATAAAATCGCTAGGTTACATGGGAACTCTTAACTTTTTGAGGAATTGTCAAACTGTATTCCGAAGGTATTATACCATTTTACATTCCTGCCAGCCGTGTATGGCAGTTCCAACTTCTCCACATCTTAACCAATACTTGTTATGTTTGATTTTTCTCATTATAGTTATCTCAGGGGATGTGAGATGGTATCTCATTGTGGTTTTTTCATTTTCATTTCCCTAATGACTAATGATGTTAGGTACCTTTTCATTTATTTGGAGAAATATGTGGTATTTGGCCTATTTTCAAATTGAGTTGTTTGGATTTTTTTACCTTTTTTTTTTTTTTCTTTTGAGCCAATCTTACTCTGTCACCCTGGGGTTGAGCTGTGGTGGTTCACAGGAACCTCACTCTTGGGCTCAAGTGATCCTCTTGCCTCAGCCTTTCAAGTAGCTGGGACTACAGGTGCCTGCCACCATGCCTGGCTAGTTTTTCTGTTATCAATAGAGATGGGATCTTGCTCTTGCCTCGTTCTTTCTTAGGCTGGTCTATAATTCCTGCGCTCATGCAGTCCACCCACCTTGGCCTCCCAGAGTCCTGGGATTGCAGGTGTGATTACTTTTGAGTTGTAAGAGTTCTTTATATATTCAGGATATTAAGACACCAGATACATGATTTGGAAATACTTTCTCTCATCTGTGGGTTGTCTTTTCTTATTCTTTCTTTCTTTTTTTTGATAGTGTGTCTTTTGAAGCACAAATTTTTTTTACCTTTTTTTTTTTTGAGACAGTTTCACTAAGTCACCTTTGGTAAAGTGCTGTGGCATCACAGCTCACAGCAACCTCAAACTCTTGGGCTTACGTGATTCTCTTGCCTCAGCTTCCCAGGTACCTAGGAGCCACAACACCTGGCTATTTTTTGGTTGTAGTTGTCATTGTTTGGCAGGCCTGGCTGGATTTGAACCCACCAGCTCTGGTGTATGTGGCTGGCGCCCTAGCCAGTGAGCCACAGGCTCCAAGCCTGAAGCACAAATTTTTTAATTAATATCTAGTACATCTGGGTTTTTCCTTTGGTTTCTTATGTTTTAGGTGTCAGCTAAAAAGCATCTCTAAACATTATGCATTATTCTCTTTAATTGCGCCCAGTAACTAGTAATAAAAAATTAATCTTGTAAGTTTCCATTTTTTTCTTATAGAAATTTCCTTCATGAAACCTTTAGTCGTCTTGCCCAAGCCTCTAACAACCTGGGTAAACTAAAGATGTGAATGGAGCATGTGAGTACAGCATGGGAAGATTGTGTTCACTGATTTTCCCAGCATGTCCTTAGAGATTCGATATATAGATGACAACTACCGTGGGCTGCCTGCAACACAAAAAAATGCCTGCCTGCTTGTCTGCAATGGGCCTGAAATCAGCTTAGGTTACTTAGCTCAGCATCACGTTCTGCTTAAAAGAAATCTTGAGAATCAGTTACTTAACAAAAATTTGTATTGAGATTAAGCTAAAGTCTGCCAAAATTAAACAGCAAAGCAGAATGGTTGACTTGACATATTTTCAGGAAACTATAGAGTTAAATTTCTAGAGAGGGATATTTATTATTGCGTAATAATGTTTTCAGTTCAAATCAGTAAATCACAGTTTGTCTAATAAATCAATAAAATCTGAAAGGTTTTCATTCTGTACATAACTGTGCAATAGTGTTTATCATGAATCTTCCACTTCATTTTCTAAAAACTATCTTTAATCCTTAATGTTCTTTTACTTTAAAAGAAAAGCTGGAAATAGTCATATATGCTTAATTGGCCAAAGTTGTTTTCCTCCATCATACGTAGCTATGTGATTTAAGTAGTAAATCACTATTATACTGTAGTGAATTGCTAAGAAGATAAATCAGGTGATTGGAGAAACAAAAAGTATCTTTACAAACTTTTTCATCTGAGAATAAGAACTGAAAGCCAATTTCAGTTTTAGGTGTCTGTGTGCCTTGTGCCCTTTCCTCTGTGTATATCTTCTACGAAAGTCTTGCTTAAAACCACAGTTTATGAACTTATTCACAGGAAACAGTGAAAGGTTTTTTAAATAGCAACAAATGTAGTTCTGTACACATTTATCAAATGAATTTTTATTCTGGGTCATCTTTATTTTATGTCATCATGGTAATTATTCACATAGACTGATGTGTCTGGACTTTAGTCATAACAGTTCCAAAGGGAAGTAAGTAACCAGGTGGAATTCTGATATTTATGGACATTGGTACTAGATGGCATGTTTTGTGTGTTAAAATAAACATTGTTTTTGAGACCCTGTGACTTTGTGAATGTTTCTTAAATAGCTTTGAAGAAAATGAACATCTAAAGTGGTGACTGCTTCCCAGAAAGACCAAAAGCAGCCCTGTTGAGAGACACAAGGTGCAAAGTCAAGGGAATAGTTCTTTGCTTTCAGGCTTACTTCAGGTTTGCTTTGCTGATCTCATTCAAAATACTTAGTTCTGCTGCCCTTAGCATTTCATTAGCAGTTCACCGAGCAGTTAATAAAACCTAAATCTGTGGTGCTTTGTTAGTTAGCAGGTAGTGGGACCAGTGACCACTTTTCTAGCTTGTTCAAAAATGATAGAACTTGTAAAAATAAATTTAACATTGAGCATAGTAGTCTACCCTTATTCCTCAGATGCCTTTCCACTCTCCTGCGGTTATTATGCCCCCCTTCACTCTATTTCTAGGGGTCTTTGGCCTGAAATGCCCCCTTAACTTTATGAAAGCCCAGCTCCTTTACCCCGGACAGGTGAAATTTAATGCTCCAGAATTTCCTGGAGGAGTTAGGCTTCTGCCCAAATCACCCTTGTTTGACTTCCCTTCCTTGTCTTGCTATTTCCACTCCTTGTCACCTCCTTAGTAAGCCACTTCCTTACACTGATCTCTCTCTGCTTTGTGGGAGCTGACCGAAGACAACAGTCAAGTGGGACATGTTTCTTGTTCTGGAATAAGGTCAAAGCTCAGGTCATAAGGTGCTGAGTCCCACATTCTAAGAGTAGAGAACTACAGGGGTGTCAGTTCAGAAAGCGTGTTCTGTCACAGATAGCCTGGGGACCCTGGGAGAGTGCTTTTGGAAGAGTGCAGTGTGGGAGGATGTAATTTAGTCCTATGGACCCTCCCTATGGGGCAAGGCGACAGGCTGCATCTGTACTCTGAAACCACAGGAGGGAGGACTGAAAGAGTAACTCAGGGTTCAAGACACTTGCAAGAATGGGAGACCAACATTTTTCCTTCTGGTTGGATTTGTAGATTAGCCCATCTGTTGTCTTATTCCGGATCATGAACGTGGAACTGGAGGGGTTTTGTGGGGACTATGAAGCAGAAATGTATCGAAGGTCTACCCTGCTGCCTTGAGAACTGATGACATGAGTTGGGGCTAGGAAACTGCAGCAACATGGGGTGGGGGTGGGGGGGCATGGTATAAAGCAGGTGCAACAGATGGAGTGGCAGGGGATCAGCCAATATAGAGCAAGCTCAAATCCCAGAGGACTTCTGATGCCTGGGAAAACTGCTCAGGAATGAGCCCTGCTCCTCTGGATGGGTGAGTGTGAGTTGCCTCTGCACAGTGGAACGTGTAACCCAGTTATAAGAACAGTTAGAGCCAATTAGAGAAAGGGTTACTACCTCACAGCAAGGCAGGTTCCTCAAACTAGGCTATACATGTGATCACCTGGGAAGTTGAAAGCAAGTGAAACCCATGCTCAGACCCCATCCTCGTCCAATTTAATCAGAAAGATGGAATTTTAACGTTAAGCCTAAATTGAGAACCATTGCAACAGGAAACTTGTAGCGACTGACTACTTCCCAGAGAAAGAGAGCAGAGAGGAAACTACAGAAAAGCAAACCCTCTGTGATTAGAATGAGCCTACAGTGCACAGGGGGAAAAGCCCTCATAAGTATTCCACCTTGGATTCAAAGTGTGTTGAATTAAAATTGGGACTGAGCTTTAAAAACTGAAATAAACTATAATTATCTGAAGATGAAGAGAATCCGGCCACAGAGCTAAAGGGGATGCTATTCAAGAGGAAAGGGAGATTAAACAGGAAGTTATTGCAGGTTTAACTTCAGTGACTTGCCTCTCTACTGTATACTAAGAACTTTAAAAGTCTTTGAGGTGGCATAGCTTTGCCTCGAAATCTGCCACAGTTCATAACCGAGGACCCATGGATCATATGCTGGGTGAATTTGGGAATGAAGTTGGGTTATTTTTAATTATTTTGGGAAGTACTAATCCAGAATTTTGGTGGAATTTTTTTTACATGCATGCCTTTTTATAATTTTTCTTGCCCTTTAAAATTTTCCTTGTTAAAGGATGCCAAATATGATAGTAACTCAGTTATAGATACTGTATTTAAATTTTAAAGAGTTTGGGCTGTAGCAATAGACTGTCGTTCTCAAGGTCCCCTGTAGATGGCATTACTTGACTTTAAACATTTTATAGAAGTTGTTAAAATAGAATCTTTGGATAATGCAAGCACACTTTTAAGATGAATTAAATTAGATTAAAAGAAAATAAGTTGACCTAGTATGAGTTACTTTCAGAAGATAACACACATTGAGTGAAACTATTTTCTTCTAACAAAATTTTATTTGGTTTAGTTTTCTCTGTATTTAATTCTAATACACCTTTTAAATGTCATTCATTAAGCTACGTAAATTCATAAAACATTTTTCCGCTATTGATACCGTCTGTGAGAGGGAAAGACATTTACGAGGCTGAATTAGTTCATGTGAAGCTCTGAAAACTAAATTTCACCTTGAAAGTATCTTTAACATAGTGCGTGATTTTACATCTGAGGTGCTTCCACCTTCTGATAGATTTTAGTTAATTTTTCAAACCAGTGTTCCTTCCTCACTAGATTAAGCAGCAGTTTTTACAGCAGCAGTCTGAAACTCTTGTCTTAGGCTCTCCCACATTCCCTGTAAGTTTGGGCCAGGTGTGGGATTTGGGTTTTTATTTTTCCTCAGGAAACATCAAGGCTTGAGAGTTTGGGGTCATTGAAAATGAACATTGTGTATATTCTGTTTTCTTTCCATAGAGACTTGTGTTCTGATACAAATACAGGGGAGAAGCTGTAATATTACTGAAAATGAAGCAGTGGGAAAGCAAGGTTTTTACTTTGCGAATGTTGAGTAGGAAAGCAAATTCTCAAACCATTTTTACTAATTTAAACTGTTAGATATTCAGGCTGGTGTGGTGGCTCACACCTGTAATCCTAGCACTCTGGGAGTCTGAGGCAGGTACATTGCTTGAGCTCAGGACTTCCAGACCAGCCTGAGCAAGGGGGAGACCCTGTCTCCACTAAACAACTAGCTGGGCATCACAGAGGGTACCTGTTGTCCTAGCTACGTGGGGGACAAGAGGATTTGAGCCTAAGAGTGTGAGGTTGCTGTGAGCTATAACATCATAGCATTCTATCCAGGGCAAGAGTGAGAATCTGTCTCAAAAAAAAAAAAAAATCTGTTAGATATTCAGGTTCATTAAAGACATTGTCTTAAGTTCCTATGTGTTCAGGGAGTTAAGCACATATCTAGAGAGCCCCCCCCCCATCGATTTGTGTGATATGGTCTAAATAATTGATTATTAATAACAAGATACTATAGTTTGTAAATAATAGACTTAAAAATATATCAGAGCAAATTATCTTTATGATACTCTTTTTCTCACCTTGGTTTCTGAAAACAGAGCGTCAGAGTACAGGCCGTGAGACCAGATTCTCTGTGTTTGAATCACAATTTACCAGCTGTGTGACTTAAAGTGCCTCAGCTTTCCCATATGTAAGCTAAGGATCATAATGGTCTCTAACTCATAAGTTGCCATGGGGATCAAGGTAGTTTAGTAAATGCAATGCATTTAGGTACCTAGCACACACTAAGGCATAATAAATGTGATTATAATAGGGATAGAATTACCGGTGGGGACTTGGAAAATGTAGATAATGTGTGTCAATTTTATCTGCACTGTGGTGTACAATCTGCATAGCATGCAGGTAAACATTCCCAGCCCACTGTGGTAGGAATGGCAACTGGGACAGGGTGAAATTGAGAGCATCATTCCACAGCGTGTACTGTTATTTGAATAAGTAAGCAGTTTTATTTATTTTTAATTTTTTTTTTCTGAGACAGTCTCCCTATGTCGCTCTTTGTAGATTGCTGTGGTGTCATAGCTCACAGCAACCTCTAACTCTAGGGCTTAAGCAATTCCCTTGCCTCAGCCTCCCAAGTACCTGGGACTATAGGTGCCCACCACAACACATGGCTATTTTTTGTTGTAGTTGTCATAGTTATTTAGCAGACCCAGGTCGGGTTCGAACCCTCCAGCCCTGGTGTATGTGGCCGGTGCCGTAACCACTGAGCTACGGGTGCCAAGCCAAGTAAGCAGTTTTAGAAAGAAGAAAGTATGGTGGGAGAAAAACCTTTGATGTTCATTGTCATGGTGCAAAAGCAGGTTCCGTAAGTGTTCAAAGGTGAGTGAGGACAGAGGAACTCCTCATTTCTGAATATGGGAGCCTAGGTTTGAAGCCTGGAGCTCCACCGTTGACATTCCCCTGCCTGGGACTCATAGCCAATTCTTCCTTCTATCTCTGTTAAGCCTGAGACCGGTGAGGTAGCAGGTAATTAAAGTCCAGCAGAAAGTCTTCTTTCTGAAGTCTGGGACTTGACCTATCTATGTAGTAATATTTTCAGAGTTTAGATTTATTAACTCTAAGAAAGCAAAGTGACTCTTCAAAATACTTTTGTAGCAGTTGCTTCCTGCATAAATGATCTTTTCCTGTGTAATAATGAGTGCATTTGGGGGCCACAGGGGTTAACCAATCCCTCAGGCTCTCTGTCTTGACCCACAGACAAGAAGGGGAGAACCCTGAAACGTTCTGTGTCTCCACCATTGTGTAAAGTGGCACATACTATATTTTTTTACGGCATTAAGTTAAACTTCCAAGGTCTTTTTGTCTTCCCAGTTGATGGGAAAGATTATTGTAAATACCAAATAGATGGTCTTCATTTTAGAAACTTTTATGTTACCTGTAATGCATTAACTTTTTCTGATGAAACACCTCACGTTTTTTAAATTTTCACAAGGTTGAAAACAGTATTTCTTCCTTGCAAAGCAAATTAAGACTTGAAAAAGAGATGGGCTGGATGCAGTTACTGGAGGCTTACATTGAGTAGTTAGCAAATTTCTTTCAGGTTATTAACTCTAATGAGTGCCCCTGGCAGTCTCTTAAACTCTTGATGGGTCAGTGCTTTTAAACACTCGTG